TGCTTGGCCAGTCAAATTACTGTAGCAGATTTGGTGGATTTCAGACCTTGCAGTAGGTTCGGCGAGTAACTCGACCCAGATGTGATTAAACTCGCGTCATCCGACGAGGCCTCGTAGCTTAAGTGGTTAGAGCGTGGGCTGTACTAAAGCCTTCCCCTTACTGCGTGGGTTCGAATCCCACCGAGGCGTCGAGGTTTTCACAATTGGGTCAATATGAATAATTCAAAACCTGCCAAAACATCTTTGAGATATTTCGAGTATTTTTTTACCTGACCGTTCTCCGTGCCGACCATTTTTTTCTAAAAATGATCTTTTCTTTTACTAATGAACTGAATATTTGGGTAGCACCAAGCAGAATAACACTACCAACAAAAAAGGGAAGAACCTAAGATTTCGGAAGTTTCTTTCGCCAGAACGGGTACCCCGATCGATTCATTGCCAAGCACATGACAGAAAGACCACTAAAGCCCTTAAAGCTGACGGCAGAAAAGATAAGGCTTTTCATCAGGGTCCCGTTTCAAGGGGACGCGCCAAATGAACTTCTAAGAAGGCACATAACTCAAGCTGTATCGGCAGTTCGACCATCGATTTCGATGATGTCCACCGTATGCCCCACAGACTGCATTGTGGAGCAGGGACGGTGACTTACGCAGGGGTTTATAGTGCCGGTAGACTTGCGTAGCATCTACCTACACTCTCTCCTCCTCCCCGCCTGAGCCCGGTGTCAAGACAGAGTCAAGAAGACCGGAGACGGGGGAGGCCGCAGGTGGATGGCTCGGACGGATCCTCGCTTTGGCGCTCCACTCCGCACCCCCTGGTCCACACACAAATGACCAGGATTTTGACCTCAAGCTGTATCACGCACCTTTCCACCAGCTGACGCCCGTGTACTCCTCTCCACTAGCCCCATCCTACACGGAGAGGGTAAGGACAAACTGCCAGCCCACACCACTTCTATGTTTGTGTGCTCCTGCACCTGCTCCTGTGATGCAGAATATATTGGTCGCACGAATCGGCGTTTGTCCAAAAGAATAGGGGAACACCTTCCAGCATGGTTAGGATGGGGCCAAATAAAGAACGTCAACAGCTCTATCCTCGCCCACATGGTAAACACAGATCACTGTGCAGATGCCGGACAGGCATTCCTAGTGATTTACAAGGTCTCGTCAAACTACCCAAAAGCCCTTGGACAGCGTCTGTTGGCAACAGCAGAAGCGGCTGCAATCAGGCAACACAAACCAGTTCTATGCGCACAAAAGAACTTCGTACAGGCCCACAGTTACGATAGGCCAAAGCCAACATGCCAACGTCTCAGTGCTCACCATCCCCTTCTCCCCCCTGACACGAACAATAATTTTGTTTGTCACCTCCCCCACCCAGACCCTCCCAAGCTACAGAATAATCTCTTCAGATTGGCAAAGTTGAGATATCCGGGTTGATTAATCGAAGACGAAGACAGGCTCTCCGGAAGAGGTTTATTTAAGTGCTGACGTTTCAAAGAGCTGGGTCGGCTCTTCATTGTCAAAGCGTAAAATGCACTGACATTGAACACCTAATGGAACTACTGAACTCGGTTGACCAGGATATCCAATTAACGATGGAAGCAGAAACAAACAACCAACTGCCTTTCCTTGACGTACTTGTGCACCGGTGTACCACTGGACAGCTGCAAACTACAGTATTCCGAAAATCCACCGACACGAGACAGATCCTACACTTCAACAGCAACTATCTTCTGTCTCACAAACGTGGTTGTGTCCGCACTCTATTCCAAAGAGTCGAAACACACTGCAGCACACCAGAAGATAAAAGGGCCGAACGATTGTACCTTGTGGACCTATTTGCAGCCAATGGTTATCCCAGGCATTTCATCGAGAGAAGCAGACGTTGGGCGCCCAGACAACGGCCAAATGAGCAGCAACCCGAAGTCTGGAGGGCCATTCCTTACGTTAAAGGGGTCTCTGAAGCGGTCTCGCGACTGTTACAACCCACCAGAGTAGGCATAGCCCATCGACCACAAGCAACAATTCGACGTCGCCTGATGCAACCTAAAGACCCATTGCCACCCGCTGAAACCTCAGCAGTCATCTACAAAATAAATTGCAATGAGGGCGACTGCAACTATGTGGGCGAAACCGGGCGGGAATTGCAAACTCGCCTACAAGAACACAAATCGGCCACTCGGAGGTTAGACCCTAACTCTCAACTAGCAACACACGTTGGAGAAACGGGGCATACTTTTGACCTCCAGAGGGCTACCATCTTAGGCCGAGACAACACAAAAACAGAACGGCTAACTCTCGAGTCGTGGTACTCTGATGACCACTCCATCAACAGGCATCTGGACCTTTTTGCAGCTTACAAAGTCCCACTTCATCACAGTCGTAGAGCTCAGGACCAAACAACCACACCGGACTTAAGAAGGCTGCACGGAGATAGCCCGACGCTGAGTTTACTCTGTGAGGAAGAACAAGAACCGCCAGACCGACCGCCCGACTAAAGTCCAATCAGTTCCCCTCAACGGAGTGGTGACTCATAAAGCGCACAGGCAAAACGCCCGTCAACCATCTCCCGAGAGGCCGAGGCAGCGAGAGGAGGGAAAAATCGATCAGCATGAGGCCGGCCAATACAACTTGCCACTTTAAACTAAATTTCTAATCGATTAGGTGCAGTTTACGCTTTGACAATGAAGAGCCGACCCAGCTCTTTGAAACGTCAGCAGTTAAATAAACCTGTTCCGGAGAGCCAATTTTCTTCTTCTAGTATTTGATTCGTCTATATAGCTAAATGACTCAAGGACTTTGCTCAAATTTGGAAAATTTCTTCAAGATACAACTGAATAATCACATTTTGAAAGGCAACCCGAACTCTCCAAGCCCGCTCTAGCGGATTACCGAAGTAACTGTCAAAATACTACTAGCACAAATTCAACAGATCAACTTTTATGCATTAAACATGATTCAGATAACAGTTTTGCGGGCGAATGTAGTGAACCAATTATTTTGCAGACATTTCTCCAATTCCAATTTTTTTCACAAAAACTATCTCCAAACGTTGGATTTTCGAACTCTGTACGCCAGAATGACATATAATATTTTCTAATTAACCTTTATCACTCACAAATGTACCGTTTAATTGGAGTTCTAAGGTCTTCTGTCATTCACCTTTAATATGGTAATTGACTGTTTACATCTGAAAAGGAAGTTGACCTCCATTCCTACTTTCGATATGCATGTGATTTTGCTATAAAGTCGCATAGTTGCTTTGTTCGAGAGTATTAATTTGCCATCCTGTATTGCCAGTGACGCGTAAGATGAATTTTACTTTACTTTAAACCTTCCTCGCCTCGCATTCGAAACTGCATAAAGCAACTTTACCTGAATTAATTGTTCTGGCAACTGAGCGTTTATCTTCTTTCCGTCTCCTTATTGAATGTTTATGTTTCCTATTAAGGCTTTCTTCGATTAGATTGAGGAGAACGTGCTCCTTGCATACTAGACGTTTTAAACCTACTGTCTAACATGCCTCGATGTTTTCCACTCAACAACAACCAATTCAGATCTGCAACGAGCTAGTAGCCTACGCAGCCTCGTAAAACATTAATCGCTGGCAAGTCTGTATTAGGTAGGCTGATGGTGACACTGTTAGAAGTGGCTGATGTGACAAGGTTTCCGCGCTTGCGGGTTAGACGACGACAACGAAG